TCCTGTTGGTTAGCCGTTAGCGGTGCTGCTAACATTACTAGCTCTCCCCCTGTTGGTTAGCCGTTAGCGGTGCTGCTAACATTACTAGCTGTTCCTGTTCCTGTTGCTTTAAACACTGATTGGTTGTTTACGATGAAACATGATCTACTGAGTCAGTAAAACTTTATTTACACTGTGATGGTTAACGGTAAACTTTATTTACACTGTGATGGTTAACGTTAAAACTTTATTTACACTGTGATGGTTAACGTTAAAACTTTATTCACACTGTGATGGTTAACGTTAAAACTTTATTCACACTGTGATGGTTAACGGTAAACTTTACTTACACTGTGATGGTTAACGGTAAACTTTATTTACACTGTGATGGTTAACGATAAACTGTATTTACACTCTGATGGTTAACGTTAAACTGACATTAATCCGCACGTGTGCAGAACAACAGTCCGTTTCTCCACTAACGTATACTTTTACTCACTTTTTTATTAGATAATACAATTTAAAAGCATTGAGTCGTTCCTCCACCACTGACTTGTGTCTCAGCCACTTAATCAATGAGAGCGATTAAAGCAACAAACGACCCCACGGACCTGCTAATGAGTCCGGGTGTCAGTAGGACCGAATCAGGCCTGTTTGAGTTAAGTGTGATAAATGAACTCAGAACTTTGGTGATTATTACTTGTGTAATGAGATAATGTGCTCCGACTGACTTCCTGTCCGCTGAGGGGACCGTTTTCTTCCTCTGTCATGATTACATCATCTGACATCATCATTACATCATCTTACCAGCACTCGGAACAGACTTTGGCTTCGTTGTGAACCAGCCTTGATGCTTATACGAACCTCAGAAATGCGTTGTGATTGGTGTGCAGAAGGTTGTCTGAGCGTGGAGGAGAACTTTGCTTTATATTGTGTGAAATATGTTGTTGTTGTTTTAGATACAAAGGGTTGAACAAAGAAGCTGCTGCATGTTTTTGAATTTGATGCCAGTGTGGAATGAAAACTAGACAACTTCAATGTTTGAAATTCTCAAAAGAAATGCCTCTTTTCTAACTCTCAAACTCTGAACAATTGTCTCTTTTATTGTTAGAGATCGTACTATTTACACACACACAAACTACCATTTAAGTCTGATGCAGTAAAATGAATTACTGTATTTTATATTTATTTGGTAAGGGACAGAGCACATTAATACAAACACTGCTGTAAATGTTCCAGAGTTAAAGCCAAGAGGCTATTCTTCATCTGTAGTCCCAAAGCTGATGTTACAAAGTCAACCTAAAACCAGAAGATAAGTTATGCAATATTGACCCTTTACAAAGCATGCAGAAACAAGTAGTGAGCATATTAATATAAGTAGTACCATCATTCAGGTACTACTTATACATGTCAAGTACTAACAGGACTGTAGAGCTGAAACAATGAGTCAGTTAATTAGTTGATTGATCAGTGATTATTGCTGCAGTTGATTATTCAAGAATGATCATTGTTTAGCATCAATTAACCAATTATCTTCTTTATTGATTGGTCTACAAAATGTCAAAATAAATATGAAATATTGTTCATGGCAATTATTGCAAAGCCCATAGTGACATCTTCAAATGTCCAACACACATACAGAGTTTGACTATAAAAGAGGTTCAAGAAAACCACAAAATCGAGTTTAACTAGTTGGAATCAAACATTTTTTGGGGCCAATTAGGCCTAATCAACTTCTGACTCACCTACCTTCCTACCCACCTCCCTGTCCACCTACCTACCTATTATCTATGTAGATAGGAAAGGAACCTCACAAACACAAACAGACCAACACAAAGAGGACTAATCGCTTATTGTATTTCCCTCTCCAGGCCGGGGCAGGAATCCTCCGTTCTGTTTGGTTTCATGAAATCGAAGCTTTCTGCAGGTTTGTGACACAAGCTGAAGATCGACCTCAGTCCGGTTAAACTGGTCGGAGAGATCTGTATTTTAATTGTCTGCACATTACATCACACTTCACCTGCAAATCAAACGGTTTTCAGGTGATGAAGTTAGAGTTCATATATATTTCATTTACAGAGTTTGCTTCACGGTCACGAGAGGACATTTCCACGAGTCGATACTTGAATGTACCGTCTTCCACAATTCACTTATAAATAATAAAGAAGAGGTGAGACTATATGTTCAGGGCTTTTAAAAGGCTTTAATTCTGATCCAGTTCCTAAACCCTCTCACACGCTGCTCTCTGTTGAGCACTATAAAGACACTCTGCTGTATTATCACTGAGCTCCACACAGCTGCTGGAGGATTCATTATTAAACACAAACTGAAGAGATCTCAGATCTCAGCTGTCACGTCTTTTTACGAGCCAGATTATTATCATCCGCGTCTTTGTGGAAATAAATAATTAAAAAGAGCTGGAAGAATATGACTGAGTCGGCGTAATGTTTAACTTCACAGCACAAGAAAAGATAGATTAATGAAAGCTAATTTATTTTACATGAAACATCATTAACACTCAGTTCTTAGCTTCCTCCTCGTTATTATTCACTTCAGAAAAGGTGAAATTACAAATTAAGAAGCAACAGAATACAAAGCGATAGTGTCCGGGTGATTTAATGTGTGGAACTTCAGTACAAAAGAATTCAAGGCTACAAACAATAAAAGTTGTTTGTTTTTTATTTCTTATTCCTCAGACAGAAGAGTGGCCTCCAGACGTCAGGTTTCTAGGTGATGAGACGTCTGATCGGCTTCCTTCTTATTGAACTGAGGCTGTTGGTGTTTCATCCTGCAGGACATCTTGTCGTCACGTTTTAAAGCACTGGACACGAGGTTAACATGTTGATTCAAAGAAAACGACTCACTTAAGTTCAGGAGAAGATCAGAAAGTTCAGGTAGAAACAAGTACGTCGTAGTAGTTGTTATGTAACTTAAGATAAAATCAGATGAGACGGAACTTTCCTCATCCAGAAGGAAATTCTTTGATCAAAGATTACAACAGAATAACAACAAAAAACAATAAAATAAAAAATATAAACATACAGAGTAACAATTATTATTATTATTATTATAGTGAGAAAGAAGTAATAATGACACCAATGTAAAATACAATAGAATAGCAATAAGAGTAATTAAACAAAGAAAGAAAACAATGAAATGAATAAAAAAGTAAATAAACAAAAGACTAAATACAAGAGTAAAAGTATAAAGTGTATAAAAAGTAATAGAGTTTTGTACTAAATTGTTTTACTACAAAATGAATTCATGTAACGAGTAGGTCGGTATGAAGATGTCACTTGTTCGTAGGATTTCATACGAGCTGCTGTTTGAGGATACGTTGAGTTATAGTGTGACCCAGAGGATGAAATCTCTCTTTATCTTAATGATCTCACGACTTCTCCTCCGGCTTCATCATCAGGACAATATTTAGCTCCGCTTGCCTCTGAATAGAACCAACCCTTATTCTGTTGTATAACGCTTAATAGACCGACTTTTGCATTATTTTACACTACAGTGCAGTTTGCCACCGGGGAAGTCATAACTCAAGAGGCCGAAGAATTACTGAGCAGAGGAAAAGATCAA